TTTCCTCCCCAACCATCACAGTGCAAAGGTGGCTGAACGCAACAAGGAAAGAAACCCAAGGCTCTGGGTCATCTTAGACCCGTCTCTCACCGGCCCATGGTTTCTAGAACAGAGTCAGTCAAGTCGTAGGTAGGCATCACGATATCCTTGGAATCCGTGGAGCCACACCAGGAAAAGATCGGATGGATGTGTGAGCTGGATTTCTTTTTTTCCAAAGGCCAGTCTCCCAGGTTAACAAAAAACTCCACATCTGGCATCTTCACCTGGAAAAGGAGGGTAAAGAGCTTATCCACATTAGTGGCAGTGGATAATCCCGTCTATGGATCAATGTGTGGGGAAAGGCAGCCTCGTGCATGCAGTCTTTCCACCTCTGCTTGGCCACGTAAGAACAGGTGTCAGGTCTGGAACACTTCTTTACCAAGAGATAGAGCCCTCGCGGTCTGGGCGGGGGCTCACCTCCTTGTGAGCGAATGTACTTCTTGTTCTGCTTAAGCGCAGGTGTCCACGACCCTCAGGCTGCCCGGCTTGCCGTATTCCAGACTCCACAGGGAGGGATCAGGGAGCTTCCACTGCAGCAAGAAGTGAGGTGCTTGCAGCCACAGTGTGCAGTGGGGGGGGTGGTATGCGGGCAGATCTGCAGGCCCAGGGTAGGGCCACACAGCAAGGGACTGGATCTTGTTCCCTGTCCTCTGTTACAAGTAAGCACTACAGCCCTTGAGGCTGGTATGCATGCTGTCTGTTTTCAGCAACCTCGAATCCCTCACAGGTTTCTTCCTTGGGTGGCATTTACCTGCCTTTTCACTTTGGCCGGATTCACGTAATATCCTATCCTGCGGCACAGCCAGAGCACCCAGTGGTGACAAGAAAATTAGGAATTAGAAATTCTGGAAACACAAGAAAATTTAGAAATTGTACCAAATGAAAGACCAACTTTACAAGCTTCAGGTGACGATAATTACCCCAATTTGAATAGTGGGTAATTTTTTAGAATACTGTCATATACATAAGCATACTAGATATCCTTTCTGTGACGTGCAAATTGGCCAATAGACTGGCTTCAAAAAGAGATGAAATGGCAAAGATAATCTCAGTTCTATTGCTGCCAAGAGACTCTAGGATGATCAGAAAGAGAAAGGGAATTACTGGAAAACAATTACAGCTCAAAGCACTGGGACTCTAACCCTAGTTCCCGGTTAATGAGCCAGATATGCCCATTTAAGAAATATACCCCCCGCAGATAGTGGGGGGACCAGAATCTGAACTCTGGAAGCCCAACACCAAAGCCAGCTCTAAGGATTTCCAAACTAGACCACCTCTACTGACGAGTGGTACAAACGTGTTCAAAGAACCTGTTTGGTTTTCTTTTTTTTTTAATCAAGCCACAGGTAAATGTTTGGGGTTTTTGGTCAGTCTGAAAAGTATCTTGAGAAACTGGAGTCCTGAAGAACAGTCTTATCTTTCCACAGATTGACACAGATGAGCAAGGAAAACTTGCCAGCACCCTGAAGTCTTAGCTGAAAGAGACAGAATACAGATGCTTTGTAGCTGCCTATGTTCAGAATAAACTCACTATAAGTGCTCTGCCAGCTTGAGAAGGTACTGTGATTTTCCATGAGTAATTCAATCAAGATATAGACACAGATTATCCAATAAATTGTTATTAAGCAACTGGTAACAATGTGGGTAGTTTTTCCTATCAGCAGAAGCTGCAGTGAGGTGGCTGCAAGCCAAGGAGCCCCAAGATGGCCAGCCGGGTACCAGAAGCAGGGAGAGGAAGAAAGGGTTCTCCCCTACAGCTCTCGGGGGGGGGGGGGGGAAGGCCTGCTGACGCCTTGCTCTCAGACTTGTAGCCTCCAGAACTATGAGAGAACAAACATTTCTGCTGTTTTATGCCACCAAGTTTGCAGTACTTTGTGACAGCAACCCTAGGAAATTCATATAGGTACCCTATGTGACATAAAGCTTCAGAACAGTATTATAATAAGGTTCCAGAATAGAACACCACTGATGCTGTTATTTTTTAAAAAAAATTATATAGTAAAACCTGGGCTGAAACTGTCTATTATACCTAAGAGAAAAGAAATACTTACTTTTCTAGTCAAAGAAAGTAGTATGGCATCCATGAAAATTCGAAAACCTACATGTTCACCATGAGTCTTGATATAAACCTACAAGAGAATTGAACATTTATTAAGTTAACCTAGAAATGGTTTATTTTCCGTCACCCTTATTTCCATTTTGTTTATTATGTTAATCTAAAAGTATTGGCAGATTTCATTGAGGTAAAGCTTATCACAATGGTCCTCAGAATGATTTTTTTTTTTTTTAAGATTTTATTTTTAAGTAATCCCCACACCCAACTTGGGGCTTGAGCCCACATCCTGAGATCAAGAGTCGCAGGCTGCACCGACTGAGCCAGCCAAGCATTCCACAGAATGATTTTTAATAAAACTCTGTAGCTACTTAGAGCCAAATGGACAGAACAAATAAAAAAATCACTAAGGCAAACAAGCAAACCTTAATCACAAATCGTACCTTGTTATCCTTCAAGGTATAATGACATAAGCTCTGTCTTTGTCCAAATCTTTTTGGGATTTCTTCTGCAATCTTTTCTGGATCAACAGCAGGGAAATGTGCCAGATCTCTCTGAATCTGAGTAATGGTTTCCGGGCAGTTCATCTCCTGTGACCAGGCTGCACTATCTTCCAAAGGACAGTCACAGTTTTCATGGTAAACTGGCCCTAATTACACACAAGTAACAAAATATCACAGTAATAATTTCACTCAGCATTCAAAACAGCTAAGAAATATCCATTATGTAGCTTCATAAATACTGTTGTTTTAAAATTATGTTACAAATTACCTTTTAAATTATATGGAGATTTGGCAACATGTTGACCTTGGAATTTAACTTCTATCTTCAGATTTTTGTAGCTTGCATACATTCTGTATCTTACTATGAAGGACCCATCCTTTCGGTCTAAAACCTGGACTCCAACTCTAGTGAACTGCTCTTCTGGTGCTGAGATTTTAATTTGGAACACCTTTTCACCTGGAGAAGATGTGAACCTGTCATGGGAAGAACAGCAAGATATAAAGATTATTTCAAGGCACAAATGCACAAAGATTATGCTCTCGTCTGTTAGCCTTACTGTTTTCCTCCATACTCTGTCCCTAACATATATGCTTACTGCTTCTCTCACATGCTTGTAGTATCAGAATGAATGTGATGGATCAGAGATTTAAAAAAAAAAAAGCAGAGGAAGACAAATGTCCACAATAACATAAACATTTCATTAGAAAATTACAAGGGAATATATAAAGACTACATATTTATGTAAACATAGAACCCACTTATGCATTCTATATATAAAAATATTCTTATCAATCTATGCACCTGGTAATTTGCCTCTAAAGATAATGACCTTTTGAAAAATCTCTCTCAATGATTCTTTAAAAGAGCAATATTATAAATCATGTTCAGCGATGGGCAAAAGCCAGTAGGTTGTGTATCATCTAAGTGACACTGTATAAAGTTTTTTTTTTTTTTTTTTTAATGTGAGTGCTCTTGCTATGAAGATTTTTAAGATGGTATTTAGTTCCCGCAATTGTTATAACCAAGTGACAAAACTGATAACTTTTTTCTCCCTCTGCTTTGGAAAACGTCTAGATAGTTTTTCTTAAAATACCCAAGTTTTTTTTTTTCCTACAAAATATACACAGTCAGCATCCACCAATAAAAAAAAGACAATCATTTCGAGAGTATGTGAATTCTAAAACTAAGCTTTGAGTTATCAATTTAATTGCTGGAATTCAGTGGAATGAAATAATGTTCCTTACAAACACATAGATTCACACTTTGATATTTTCTGTATCAAATACTGTATCAAATTCTGTATCAGATACTTTCTGATAAGTTTCTGTAACTTTAAAGTTTCAAAGAGTGCTTCATTTTTCTTTCTGAGTTTCAAAACATGCTTACCTGCAGACGTCTCCCTGAAAACAGAGGGCAGCACCAGAGAAAGATGAACCAACCAAGTTTTTAACAACTGGGTTTACATTCCTTACAACAGCTTATGCCAAAGTAGGTGGAAAAGGTACTTCTAGCAAAGTCCAGGGGCTTTGTGTCTCCAGTCCTGTGTGAGTTCCTATCAAAACAGCCAGGAGAAGAGCTAATCCAGAATTATTTCTAAAGCTACAGAGAATAAAATTGATTGGGACGGGGAAGACTGTTACAACCAGATGTGGATAGCATCCAAATATCCTGGAATTTAAACTGCTGTGGAAAAACGGGATCTTGGGCGGGAGAAACAGTACATTTTAACTGCATTCCAAAAGAGTTAGGGAGCCGTTTCTCGACTTACTTATTTCCTGATGTATCCACCGCCTGAATGTAGAAATAGCGTGCGGGAAGGACGACGGCTGCCTTCAGCCCGGGTCCCCATACTTCGCTCTTCTCTGGACTCAGTCGCCTCTCTCTGCCGGTCTCGGCGAGTGCTGGCACTGTCCCCCCAAAGAAGCAGTAAAGCAGCAAAATGCTAAACATTTACAAGACCGACTCTCAAATGATCCACGGATAAATGAAGTGTAAGAGGTGATCGGGACCAGCCGCGCCTTGGGCAGGGGCACGTTGGCCGATCACAGCAGCAAACACGACTCCAAAAGGTGTCCCTTGCTGTGCAGGGCAGGCGCGCGGGTCTCCACTTTTCCCCAGGAAAATCACAGGCGGAGCGCTGGCTTGTCCAGCTGACGGATGCCAGTCGTTTTGCTCCAACGAGCAGGAACCACGCTACTCCTCTTTCTTGGGACAAAGATAAACTTGTGTTGCTCCTGCAACTGGAGCATCATTGGGGGCGAATCGGTCTCAGGTTCCAGCCCAAGGTGCAGGGCGAGGGGATTGGCCTGCGTGTCGGCTGGGCTGAGTAAGGCCTTCTCCAAGTGGATGGCTCAGTGGCGTCCGTGCTCAAAGGCTTCCTGGGACTTGTAGTTCGCGACAGGACTAGCGGAAATCTTGCCAGGTTTTACCACCTCTCACTCATTTATTTACTTTGCGGTCACCGCTTTCAGGGAACAGTTATAAACTAGATGCCCAAAAGAGTGGCGTGCGGGGACACAACTAAGATTTTTTAAAAAAATTGTCACCATATCCTCCGCACGTGCAGAGGGCAGGTATAAAACGATGAAAGGAAGGTGTTGTCAATGATATCCGACAACCGGTCGCCGGGCACAGCCGTCCAGGGCGCTGTCCCCGCGCGCTCCAATGGGACGAGAGACGCCAGCCCCAGGGTAACCGGAGGCGCGTCGCGGGCCGCGCGCGGGAAGCTGTGATCTGAGTCCGGCGCCCGCTCTGCGGCGGCCGCAGTGACTCGACCCCGCCGGACAGGCCAGAGGTATCCCGGGCTGTGGGCTGGGCGGAGGTGGCGGCCCGCTTCTGTGCTCCCAGTGCGCGGGGCCCTCTACCTGGCACCCGCGCGCCGCGAGCCCGGCCTGCTGCCGCCCGCCGGCTCTGGGCGCCGCCTATGCTGTCTGGGTGGCCAGGGGCCACGGCCTCTCGGGAGCCCCGGAGCCGTCCGAGTGGAGGCCGCTGCATCCGTGCTCGTCCTCCTCCCGGGAAAAAGTGGGGCGAAGAGCTGGGCAGCAAGATGGGGGAAGTGTTAGGGAGACAAGGGACGAGTGCTCTCGGGAACAAAGCCTGATTTGGAGATGCCCGCGTGGATACCGATGGCTCCTGCCCGGCGCGGGTCTCCACGCCACGCAAGGCCGGGCCTGGCCCGGAGCGTGCGGTGGCCGTCCCTTCTTCCCCGTATGCCGGCTCTGCGGCCAGGCGGTCACCAGGAGGGGTCACGGTCAGCTCCGGAATCGGACCCAGAGCCCCCTGCTCTCCCTCCCTCTTCCCTCTCTGGACCTTTGCCAGCTGCCCCGAAAACCCAGACGGGCCGGGGGCTTCCGCTGGCCAAAGCTGCCCTGGGTGGAGGCCCAGGCGAGGCTTTTATGTTTTCCTTTTTTTTTTTTTTTTTGCAATTGTCTTGAGTATTGATATCAACTGGTGCATTCAAAGCTCGAATCGGCTGCTACCCCTTGGCCCAGGGGCAGTAACTGCCCGCGTCCCACCGGCCCTGGAGCCTCGGGCGCCGGGAGCCTCCCCCGGCCCGGGGCTGGTTGGAGGCGGTCACTCCACCGGCCTCCGCCCGCTCCCTCTAGCGGCGAACTCTGGCTTCCGGCCGCGGAGGGAGGCAGACGGAGGGGTCTGGAGGCCTCGCTGCGGGGACGGGGACTGGAGGACGCCCAGCCTGGGGGAGCGCTCGTGGGCCGGGGAGGCCGCCGGAGAGGTGCAGGCAGAGAGCGCGGCCTCGCTCCTCCTGTCGGTCGGCGCCGCCTCCGCACACATCGGCTCGGCGCGGCGGGGACCGGCCTGCGAGACTGTCGCCTAGGTCCCGGCGGCTTCTGAGCCCGACAGCGCCGCGAGCTTCGCAGAGTAGGGCGGTGGGAGCTCCGTTCGCCTGCCCCGGAGCCTGGGTGGGACGCTGCTGCGGCGCGCGGGAGGACCCGGTATCTTTCGTAGGCCGGCGGCCTCAGCCGGGGGAGGGGCTCGGGGCCGACCCGGCAGGGGGCCCGGAGCGTGTGGGGCTGACACCCGGGAGTAGGACCGGGACCAGCCCGGGGGCGCATATTTCACCATCAGTAAGTCACTTTCAGGCTCCTGCGTCTCCGTGGCCTTCCATACAGAATATAATAGATCATAATAGTTGTCCTATGGGGGAGGCTTTGCTGAAGACCCTTCTGAAGATCGTCGTTCCCTAAGCAAACTTGATTATTTAAAAAATACGGATTGAAAATACAACGCGAAAAGAATGTAGCCTAGGCGATAAATATTGACCTTAAAAATGGAACGTTGATTTTACAGAACAGTTCGTTCTAGTGACTTTTAGAAATCGTTACTCAGGCGGTGCATTTTATAAAATTTTGTTCGGTTGCTTGTGCCGTGATCCTAAGAATACATCGTTAAATTGAGCCTTATGCAATCATTCCTTGTAAAATCTTAATGGAGCATCACCTCTCTGGAAACTCAGATCTCACAGATGAGAACCAGGGAGGAGAAAAAGAGGCCTCTTGGCTAAAAGTCCAGCTCCTGATTCCTAAGGCCTCTCCTAGTAAATCCTCCTGGAATCTAGGCTCCTAATCCGGAGCTTAAAATAATGCCTGGAATGATGTAGGCACTTAAACGTAACTATTTGTTGATGAAACTTTCACAAATGCCCATCCCTAAGGATAACCCTGGCAAGCCTTGTGAGAGAAGGGTACTGAGTATGTACAGGGTGACAGAGCCTAGTTTGGGGAGCAAAGAAAGAATCCTCTGAAGTGACATTGAAGGATATGTGCAGTACAAATGGGAATTAACCGAATACAGGGAGGTCAATAGGAGGAGACCACATCCAGAGAATGGAAAGTTGGAAGGAGGAAGGGGGAAGAGGAGTGAGGTAGAGTTAAAGAAATAGATCATGGGGCCAGACAAGAAGTTGGCTTTTTTCTGAGAGCAGAAGGTTTTAGGAAGGGGAGTTATATGATCATATCTGTGTCCAAGCTTTATTTCCTAATACCTCTGCACAGGCCAGATTAGAAATGTCAACCCAAGGGCGCCTGGGTGGCTCAGTTGGTTAAGCGACTGCCTTCGGCTCAGGTCATGATCCTGGAGTCCCGGATCGAGTCCCGCATCGCGCTCTCTGCTCCGCAGGGAGCCTGCTTCTCCCTCTGACCCTCCCCCCTCTCATGTGCTCTCTGTCTCTCTCATTCTCTCTGTCTCAGATAAATAAATTAAATCTTTAAAAAAAAAAAAAAGAAATGTCAACCCAGGAGGGGCTGGGGATGGTGCCAGTGCTAGGAATGGGGATGGAATTGGGAATGGAACAAAAATAGAAACAAAAGGAGATACAAGATAGTACAAAACAGTGGGAGCTGCAGGCTATTTAGTGGAGGGACAAACTGCCCCCTCTGTATCTCAGTATTTCCTGAGGCTATAATTACAACATAATACAGTAATTGCTGTCTCTAATGATTCTGTTATCAGTAATAACTTGTGCTCAGTTCACTTGTAGGAAAGCCTGGGGACATGATAATGATAAGCACCCTTAGCACCCTTAGCCTCAAGGGCTCCCATTGACACAGGGAGAACAGACATGGATCTGACAGAGAATAAGGAAAGAAAATAAACTCCAGCAGTGTTTGGGTCATGGAATTTGGATAATTTTCCCTTTCTGTGTAATATCTTGGTACTTTGCAATATTTTTCTGTCATTTGTTTTACTTCTATGGTAAAAATCTAGAAATATCACACAGTTTTTCAAAGAGAAATTTCCATAAACAATGGTTCAAATGAGAAAGTGTTCAGACCACTGTTGGCTTTTATTGACAATCAATATAAAATATGTCCTTATGTTGATGATCTTCACTTTTTTTTTTTTTGGTAGAAGTACAACCAAAGAGATCATTCTTGCTTAGTGACCATTATTTTTTATTTATTTTTTTATTAATTTTATTTTATTGTGTTAGTCACCATACATTACATCATTGGCCTTTGATGCAGTGTTCCATGATTCATTGTTTGCTTATAACACCTCGTGCTCCATGCAATACATGCCCTCCTTAATACCTTAATACCCATCACCGGGCTAACCCATCCCCCCCCTTCCCCTCTAAAACCCTCAGTTTGTTTCTCAGAGTCCATAGTCTCTCATGGTTTGTCTTCCCCTCTGATTTCCCCCCTTCATTCTTCCCCTCCTGCTATCTTCTTCTTCTTCTTTTTTTTTTTTTTAACATATAATGTATTACTTGTTTCAGGGGTACAGGTCTGTGATTTATCAGTCTTACACAATTCACAGGGCTCACCATAGCACATACCCTCCCCAATGTCCATCACCCAGCCACCTCATCCCTCCCACACCCACCACTCCAACAACCCTCAGTTTGTTTCCTGAGATTAAGAATTCCTCACATCAGTGAGATCATATGGTATTTGTCTTTCTCTGATTGACTTATTTCGCTTAGCATAATACCCTCTAGTTCCCCAGTACCACAAATAATACCTACCTCTGCCCACCAAGCTGGCTTTTCGAGAAAGGCAAGAGGGTAACAGATCAGTAGAAAATGCTCTGTGAGGTCATCTGCTAAGAATCAGAGAAACCGACTCCTCAGAAAAGCCCAGTTTGGTCTGTGTGACCTCAGGCACCGACCTTCTCTTTACATCTTCCTCCAACATGACCGGGACACCAGGAGATGAGGAAGAAGGAGAAGGCATAAAAGCTTCCTGTCTAGAGATCCGCTCTAAGTGCTCCTAGGATTTCTTGAAAAAAGTTTCCAAAAGGTACCGTTAGGGTTTCCATCTTTGGTGGTGAAGCTCCAGCCAAACTGACCTTCTTTTTTTTTTTTTAAAGATTTTATTTTTATTTGTGAGAGAGAATGAGAGAGAGAGAGCACATGAGAGGGGGGAGGGTCAGAGGGAGAAGCAGACTCCCTGCTGAGCAGGGAGCCCGATGCGGGACTCGATCCTGGGACTCAATCCTGGGACTCCAGGATCATGACCTGAGCCGAAGGTAGTTCCGTAACCAACTGAGCCACCCAGGCGCCCCCAAACTGACCTTCTTGCAAAGAACTATAAACTCTGCACCAATTACTAAAAAAACACCAAAAACTAAAACAAAACACTATCTGAAGATTTGAATAGAGGGAAAGCATTCCTTAAAAATAAAGAAAATGGAATCTTTTCTAGTTATGTGGAGTCCTCCTTGTAATGAGCTCTGTTGCCTTAAATTACGTGAAGGACAGGCATTACCTTTATTGGTTTCTCCTCACAGACTTAGAGTGATCATTCTTCTGTTACTTCTTATTGCCTTAGAGGTTTTTGTCATTCAGTATTTGTATGATGGGTTTTATATAATCATTTTTCTGTAACCTATGAAAATTATTCTCATTTCTAATTTTTTAAATAAGTGAACGGGCAGAAATTTTAACTAGTAAACGTCAAAACGGTCACCCGGGGTGGGTTGTGTCTCTTGAGCGACATGGCTAGAGCCCTGTGAAGTGGGCACACTCAGCCTGGCACTTGCATTGAGTATTCCTCTACCACCTGTAATGGTCTGACTTATCAAGGTCTTGCTTTCATATAAATCATCAGCTTCCTCAAATGTGCTTGGTTGCTTTTTTTTTTTTTAAGATTTTATTTATTTATTCATGAGAGACAGAGAGAGAGGCAGAGGGAGAAGCAGGCTCCCAAGGAGCAGGGAGCCCGATGCGGGGCTCAATCCCAGGACGCTAGGATCATGACCTGAGCCGAAGGCAGATGCTTAACCATCTGAGCCACCCAGGCGCCCTGCTTGGTTGCTTTTTGAACTGTTCTCTGTTTCTTCCCCAAAGGAATTGATGTAGACTTGAAAATCGTTTTTTCCTGAGACTGATCAGAAGTTAGTGACTACTAACTATAATTGATCATGGTGATGAATGCACAGCTTTATTGAGATGAAATTCACACACCATACAGTTCCCCTGTTTAAAATGTCCAATGCAATAGCTTTGTATTCACAAAGTTGTACGTTCATCACCTCAATCAATTATAGAATATTTTCATTACTCCAAAAAGAAACCCCATCATCCCCAACCTCCTCCTCCCTCCCAGCCCTAGGTAACCCACTAATCTAATTTCTCTCACTAGAGACTTGCCTATTTTACATTTCATATAAATGGAATCATACACTATTAGGCTCTTTCATGACGGGCTTCATTCATTTAGCATAATGCTTTCAAGGCTCATCCATGTTGTAGCATGGGTCAGAGCTTCATTTATTTTTATTGCCCAAAAAATATCCCACTGCATGGATATACTACATTTTATTTATTTTATTTATCCATTCATCAATTGATGGACCTTTGGGTTGTCTCTCCTTTTTGGCTATTATAAATAACGCTGCTATGAACATTTGTGTGGATGTATGTCTTCCTTCCTCTTAGACGTATACTTAAGAGTGAAATTGCTTGCTCATATGGTATCTCTAAATGTTTGAGGAGCTGTTTTCCAAAGTGACTGGACCATTTTGCATTTCCATCAGAAGGGTATGAGGGTTCCAGTTTCTCCACGTCCTCAACAATCCTTTTTATTACCTATATTTTTGATTAGAGCCATCCTGCTGGGTGTGACATAGTATCTTGTTGTGGTTTTGATTTGCATTTCCATGATGACTAATGATGCTGACATCTTTTCATGTGTTTATTGGCCGTTTCTACGCTGTCTTTGGAGAAGTGACTATTCAGATATTTTGCCCATTTTTTTATTGAGTTCTTTTTTGTTATTATAAAGCATTATTGTAAAATAATTTTTTAATAAGACACATGGCCAGCAATTGTGGCTGTAAGTGTATAGTAGTTGTAAAATAAATATTTATTGAATGAAGGCATGTGAAATACTTGATTCATTTTTTTAGTGCTTTTGTAGTGTCTAGTGGATTGTTGATGTTTCTTTCTCCTCCCTCTTTTCTTAGGAGCCCATCTTGCAGCTCTCAAGTTTCTGTAGAATGCTGTAAACAATTGTCACGGTTGGTTTTCAAGTCATAGAAAGAGTTGCAACTTCTCCTTCGTAACAGAACCTTCCTAGTTGCATTCAATGCCTAACATTGCAGAAGCAGAAAGGGCAAATGATTCTGGAAATGGTGAGCACAAATCTGAGAGAAAGTCTCCTGAAGAGAATCTACAAGGTGCTGTCCAGTCTTTCTGCACTCGTGCCTCGGGGGCACCCTTGGGTCCCAAAGGAGATGGTCATTACCCGTGGAGCTGTCCAGTGACCCACACTCGGGAGAAAATTTATGCCATCTGTTCAGACTATGCCTTTCTCAACCAGGCAACCTCAATCTATAAAACTCCAAATTCAACCCGCTCTTCTTGCCTCCCTGATAGTACCTCTTTATCTGCTGGAAATAATCCATCAAGATACATTGGCATCCCAACGAGTACATCAGAAATCATCTACAATGAAGAAAATAGCTTGGAAAACTTATCCAATAGCCTGGGCAAGCTACCTCTCGCATGGGAAATCGATAAATCTGAATTTGATGGGGTGACCACAAATTTGAAACACAAATCAGGTAAGGAAGGAGGCTTGAATTTCACATGTGAAAATAATCAGAAAACAATATATCTTGTTTAAGCTTGCCATTAAACACGGTTTCCTTTTATAATGCTGAACAAGGAACATTGCCGTGGTGTTGTCTGTCATTGTAGTTAAAATATAACTTTGGGCAGAGGACATTTAGTTCATTAATGGGTTACCACTGGAAACTTCACACATAACCTGGGCATTTTGAGAGCTTTGAAAAATCTAAGAATGCTGTAAAATACAGGTATTGCAGATAAGTATGTGGTAGCTTAGAAATGGTTCATGAGGTCACTAGAATAACATACCACTATTTTGTAGTTTTGCAGAGACATGAATTCATCTTTCCCGATTAAATGCTTAGTTTTCTACCATATAACATTGTGGCTTTCTCTTGTTAAAATTTTAGAGCACCCAACAGGGTCTCCAGGTACCACTGAGTAGGTTGTGTCCTGCACAATTTAAGAGGGTGCTGTTCACCTAGGGCACAATACACAGTTTTCGAAATTGCAGTGTGGTGGCCCTGTGACAGAAACTACAGCTTTTCATTTCTTTCTTTGGAACTCACAGTAATAAAGGATTTTTTTGTGGTAGGTACACTTATCCTTATTTTATAGGTAAAGAAATTGAGGCTCAGAGGGGATAAGTTGCTTGTGGAAAGTTGATAGCTAGTAAGAGGTAGAACTGGGATTATGTTCTAGGCTTCTTTGACCATTTTGTAAAACCTTACTTGTTCATCTGCCAAATCAACTTGTTTCGCAGAATATTATGTAAATTCGTAATTCTCGGTGTGTTGGGGGGTTTCACTTTGTGTCTATTTTTTATGGGTGATTGGCCTATAATTTTTTCATAATATCTTTTTCAGGTGTTGGCATTAGGGCTATGCAGGTCTCCTAAGACAGGTTGGGAAGTGATCTCTCCTGTTTTCTGAGGGGTATTAAAAATCTCTAGCAGTAGGGGTGCCTGGGTGGCTCAGTCGTTAAGCGTCTGCCTTCGGCTCAGGTCATGGTCCCAGGGTCCTGGGATCGAGCCCCGCGTTGGGCTCCCTGCTCCACGGGAAGCCTGCTTCTCCCTCTCCCTCTCCCCCTGCTTGTGTTCCCTCTCTCGCTGTGTCTCTCTCTGTCAAATAAATAAATAAAATCTTTAGAAAAAAAAAATCTCTTACGGTGATTATGGAGTTGTCTTGATTCCCTTTAATTCTGTCAAATTTTAGTTTGTCCGTTTTATCTAAGTTGTTGGTTTTGTTGGCATAAAGTTATTTCTCATAGTCCTCTTTATCCCTCTAATACCTACAGGGTCTTTAGTAATAATTCCTCTTTCATTTCTGATACTGGTCATGTATGTTCTCTCTTTTTTTTTCTGGCTAGGGCTTTATCAATTTTGTTCATCTTTTCAAATAACCAGCTTTTAGCTTTGTTAATTTTCTCGATTGTTTGTTTGCTATTCTGCTGATTTCTGCTTAATATTTTCTTCCTTCTACTTACTTTGGGTTTACTTTGTTCTTCAGCTTTTTGATTCAAGACTTTTCTCCTATAGCATTTAGTGCTTTAAATTGCTCTGTGAGTACTGTTTTAGCCACAGCCTGTTGACTGTTGATACACTTTATTTTTATTATCCTTTAATGTGAAGTATTTTCTAATGTCCCTTGTGATTTCTTCTTTGATATATGCATTACTGTTTAGAACTGTGCTGCTTAATTTCCAAATATTTTGAGGCTTTTGCTAAATGTTGATTTCAAATTTGATTCCATTGTGGACAGAGGACATATGATCTCCATCTTTTAGGATGGGTTGGGACTAGTTTTATGACCCAACATACTGTCCATGTTGGTGAATGTACCATGTGCATTTGAAAAGAATGCCTGCCCATTGTGTAGTTGTTGGGCGTAGTGTTCTATAAATATTTATTGGGCCAAAGTGTTTGAGAGTGTTGTTCACATCTTCTATGTTGCTACTTAATTTTTGTCTTGCTCTATCAATTGCTGAAAATGGGGTGTTAAAAATCAGCTGTGATTGTCGTCTTTTCTGCATTTAATTCTGTTGATTTTTGCTTCTGTGCAATTTGAAACTTTATTATTAAGTGCACACACAATTATGATTTTTATTTCCTCTTGTTGCATTGACCTTTTTATCGTTATGAAATGTCCCTCATTATTCCTGGTAATATTTCTTATTCTGAAAGCGACTTAGATATTAATCTAGCTACTCCACCTTTCTTTTGACTGGTGTTTGCGTGGTATATCCTTTTCCATCCATTTATTTTCAACTTGTATCTTTTTATATTTCAAGTCCATGTCTCCTACTCAACCATAAGAAACGATGAGATTTCGCCATTTGGCACAACATGGATGGACCTAGAGGGCATCATACTAAGTGAAATAAGTCAGACAGAGAAAATACTATATGATTTCACTTGTACATGGAATCTAAAACCCAAAACTAATGAATAAACAAACAAAAGGTAGAATCAGGCCTATAAATACAGGGAACAAACTGATGGTTGCCAGAGGGGAGGAGGGTGGAGGGGACAGGCAAAATGGGTGAAAGGGAGTGAAAGATACAGTTTCCAGTTATGGAATGAATACCTTATGGGAATAAAAGGTACAGCACAGGGAATATAGCCAGTGATTCTGTAATTGCATTATATAGTGACAGATGGTGGCTACTTTTGAGATGAGCATAATATCTAAAATTGTTGAATCACTGTGTTGTGTACCTGAAACTAACGTACCATTGTGTGTCAAATCCACTCAAAAAAGAAAAGACATGATTCATCTTCCTCTTGATAAAAATCTTATAACTGAAAGAAAGTAAAGTGCATCTCTTAAAGATTTTTTTTTTTATTATTATTCATTTGACAGAGAGAGAGCACAAGTAGGCAGAGAGGCAGGCAGACGGAGAGGGAGAAGCAGGCTCCCCACCGAGTGGAGAGCCTGATGTGGGGCTCGATCCCAGGACCCTGGGATCATGACCTGAGCCAAAGGCAGATGCTTAACCAACTGAGCCACCCAGGCGCCCTAAAGTGCATCTCTTAAAGATAGCTTTTAAGTATAGTCAATGAATTACTTGTTTCAGGTATTGTTTCTTTTAGTTCTGGAATTTAGATTTTTAGAATAGTTTTTGTTTCCTATCTTGGATTTACTATCTTTTCTTTCATTACTGGAAGATTGTATCTATCTCATAAAGCGTAGTTATAATACCCACTTTAAAATCCTTATCTGCCAGTTTTAAGACCTGGGTCATCTCAGAGTTGGTCTTATCTTTTTTTTTTTTTTTTCTTGAGAAGGTATCACCTTTTTCAGTTTCCTTACATGTTCAATAATTTTGGATGGTATCCGAGGTATTGGAAATGTGGTGATTTTGGATTCTGGTATATTCCTCCAAAGAGTGGATTTAAGTTTGTTCATTTGTTTGTTTGTTTTTAATTTTAGCAGCAATGAATTTGGTTTGACTAAAACTGTAGATTTTGTCTCTGGAGGACATTTCAAATCTCTGTCCAATTTTTTAAGCCTTAGCTGTGCTGTTTGGGGTCTGCTTTATGCATGGTTCAGGGATTAGCCTAAGATTTGGGCCAAATGTATACACAAAATTTGAGTCTCCCCTTTTCTGGCTCTTTTATTTCTGGTCTCCCCACCTACCTTACTTTCCAGTGACAGTGATTGCCCAAAACTCTGTCCCGTAGTTCCTCTAGTCAAAAGAATGGCAGATATTCTACTTATATTTGCTATCCTCAGACCTTTCTCTTAAAGCCAGTGTGATGACTAGGGGTAGGTGTGTATGTATGTATGTTTCTTTGGTGTTGGGGCTAGGTGGGTGTGTTATTGGTAGGGTGAGGAATGGAAGAAGGAATATGACAATGACAAGGGAAGGTGGGCAAAGGTTCCTGGAGTTGATGAGATGGGGAGACAGAGTGTTGAGGTGTTGATATGTTATGTTCCCTTCTCAAACTTAGCTTCCACTTTGCCAGAGCTTCCCTCGAACTGCATGGAATTTTGTCTGTGGGACCAGCTCTCCTTGTGGCAATGTGAGGATTTCATGAAGGGTGCGCATTTAGAACCCACACTTATTTAGCTGAGGAGGCTCCTAGGAGTAAAGTAGAAGGGGACAGAGGGCAGGCTCAGGTAAGCCTTAGAGGAAATATGCAGGTCCAGACCACTCTGGAGGCTGCTGGGGTCACAGATTACCACACTTCTTTGGCCTCTAAGATTTTAAGTGGCTGGGAAAGCTATGTAGGGCATTAAGGCACTGTTGGGCAGTGAAGACATGGGAAAAAATGTTGGAAAGTTGTTTTTCCATCTTCTTACTCTCTAATATTTATTTTATTAGTGAAAAGAAACTTTCCAGAATGAGACTTAACTCATGTTTGCCAGTGGTTGTTCAGCTCTGTAGAAATTTTGTGTTCTCCGTGAAGACTTAAAGAGAATAGCTAGAGGGAATGGGGAAAAACTTGTTTCTGGATATTATAGTGTTTGTCACTATGACATCTTACAAAAATCAGAGAAATCCCCTGTGTCACAAGAGTTTCTGAGTTCCAGCTCGTTTGGGTTTTATTGTAGAGCATCTTGAATGAATGAAACAAGCCCCTTTCCATGTCTGTTTCTAGGCGTATATCTATATAATCTATGTTTTATAATTATGCATAACTCATAAAAATAAAACATTAGCTTTCATTTGATTTTTATAGCAGATTTGATTATTTCATTGAAAATATAGTATGTGTGAAAATTATTAAATATTTGAGCATAGCTGTCTGAAATGTTAATGGTATTTTAGTGACATGAAACTTGAATGGTATTTATTAATATATATTTTAAAGTTTTTATTTAGATTCCAATTAGTTAACAGACAGTGTTTTATTAGTTTCGGGTGTACAATATAGTAATTCAACACTTCCATGCATCACCCGGTGCTCACTACAAGTACGCTCTGTAACCCCCATCACCTAGCTCACCCATCCATTTTGGTCACCATCAGTTTGTTCTCTATGGTTAAGATTTTAATTAAATAATTTTTGCCTGAGTAATCCATTAGCATTATTCAGAAATAAAAAGTGTAAAAATTAAACAGTGCAAAGTCTAATTTCATTTTTGTCTTTTTGTCTAGCTCCCAATTCCCCTCCTCCTTAGGTAACTACTATTATTTGCCTTATGTGTCTTTTGGAGAGATTGTGTGTATGTGCGCATGCATGTGCGTGTGTGTTCACGCATAAGCACATAAACACACACACACACACACACACAGAAAGGAGACTTTGTTTGCCATTCTAGTTTCTGGTGCTAAAGTTGCATTTTAATAATATACATGTGAGTATCATTCTTAATTCATTTTGTGGTCTCTGCAAGGCCTGGAGATATTTTTAAATATCACATCATTACATTATTGGATCTAGTGCTTTTACTTTCTTAACAGAGTTACATTAATGTGGTTTTATTGTTTTGTAGAAAGGATTCATTTTTGGAAAGTGGCCTAGTTAAATAGTTTACTGTTGGTAATTTGATTTTCTAAACCAAAAATTTTGTGATTTTTTTTTTTTTTTTTTTACTAGCTAAGCAACCAGATCAGGAATTGGAATATAAGAATCTAATAGGAACTAACACTCGTGGTTGCTTAAACTTGTTTTTGTTCTCTCTCTTTAAGCCAGGGGAGTATTCTTGAAGATACGTGTATTTCTTCAATATGTTCGCAAGTATTTTGAGAACTAGTGGCATTGCTTTTTAATTTTGTTACATAATTAATTGTATTGCCATGGTAGTTTATTTCATCTGGAGCGTTTTGCTTATTTTGTATTCTTGTATTCTAGGCAACGTAAAGAAACAAATTTCCAAGAAAAAAACTTCAGATAAAAAAGGAAGACATCAAAGGGAGTGGCCTCAGTATTCTCCTCTTGAAGATATTAAGCAGCGGAAAGTATTAGATCTCAGAAGATGGTAATCTCTAAAAATTGACTTTTTTCCTTAACCACACAATACCACTGTCATACTTAATAAAATTAACAATATTTCCATAGTATCTGATTCCCAGGCTAAAGTTAGATTTCCCGGATTTTTCTGAAGTAACTTCACGCTTGGTTGCTCATAGTGGGACCCAACCATGAGCCATACCTTGTGTTTGCTTGTTGTGGCGTATATGTCCCTCCTAATCTAGAACAGTCTCTACCTCACTTCTCTCACGGTTTTTGTTTCGTTTTGTTTTTAATTCTAGGAGATTGACTTCTTAAAGAGACTTGGCCAGATATCTTGTAGAGTGTGCTACCTTCTGGATTTGTCTAATTTTTTTCCCTTGATGGTTGTCTAAATTATTTCTGTAACCTCAGTATTTCCTGAAAGCTGGAAATTAGACATAAAGACTTGGTTTGGATTCTGGTTGAACATTTTAGGCAAGAACACTGCCTAAGTGTGATCCTGTGTCCTCCGTATTGCATCACATCAGGAGGTACATAGTATCTGGTCACCCAGGATTAGATTCTGAGAGTGATCGCTGGGTTTCAGTGGTGACAGCCTAGCCCACATTACCAAGGTTCTTTGTTCCCCTCTGCAGCCATCATGTAATCAGTCAGGTGGCAGCGGCATCAGGCTGATAATATCTTGTCCCCATCAACTTTTCACCTAATGGTTTTAGCCAAACCCCATTGACAATTGTTGCCTGAATCCTTGTTGCAAAATGGTGATATTTCAAATTTCTATCATTTCTTCTCCTTTTATTAGCTGATATTCTTCTTTTTTTTTTTTTTTTAAAGATTTTTTTATTTATTTATTTGAGAGAGACAATGAGATAGAGAGA